GACCAATCCACCGTTTTCCTCGTAATTTCAATATTTAGATGATTATGTTTTGCGCGCGTCGAGTAACACGTGATGAAAAAACAAAAAACAAAAAAACAATACCAGTTAATTTCAAGGATACGTACCTTTAATTCAACGGCTAATATATACTCTTGTAATATGTGTTATTGTTGCTCTACTGCCATAATATTTTCAACTGCGCATTTACAACTAATTTGTAAATACTCATTTATAACTGCCATTGCGGGGTAATCCCGTCATTCGTTTAATACTTGATTTTGTGTTTATCAGCAGTGACGTAAAACTATGCACAGTACGACAAAAACGAGGAATAAATAATATCCGGAGTCACCTGTGTGAAAGAGAAGAATGGAAGCGCTAAGCGTGCCAGATAAAAAAAAAAAAAAAAAAAAAAAAAAAAAAGGAAAACAGGGAGGCAACACACGTTTCGCGCTATACATAGACAATTTCCTTCGAATGGATGTAGGAGAGAAGGCGTTGAGCAACGCGATAATATACCACTGTTGACGTCTTTAGATGGAAAAATCAGCCGCGTGAAAGCTTTACGGACGCGCTAAGGCATTATTGTGTCCTTATGATACGTACACCATAGCTCGTTGAATCGCACAAGTGCGGCTACGCACGTGTATGACTTATTCTACTGTCAGCCAGGAAATATTATCGTACGGCACACGCATACGCATGTCGAAATCTTTGAAAAATCATGATACGTGCTGCTCGAGATGCCGCAAAATCACATTTCTTGGAGCTAATTGTTGTCCTGCTGTTTATTTCAACCCTAGAAAAATATTGGTGGCACAAAAATCTGTATGTCTGTGGACACAACACAAATGGGTTATTTTTTATCAACCGATACGTGTACGAATTGTCTCGTACGTTTTTCCTTCCTGAGGTATGTCTTGGATAAATTTTTTGAGGAATCGCTCGTGTACGAGTAAACTGCACGTTTAGTCGGCCGAGCGTGATTGGATTTAATTATGCAGCAACGTGGTGGTAATATATTATCATCATATACCGATTTTTTTAACTTGAGTATTATTAGAATCAATGGATTTGTGGGGGCTACAAGTGTTTTGGAATGACAGGATTTAGCTAATGTACATTTTTTGGTGTACTGCGTCACCACGTGATTGTCATTATAATTTATAATATGATTTCAATTTTTATCGCGTGTCAAGGAAAAAGGTGGATCTACTGGTATGCTAATATGCGATGACTATTTGTGCGAATTTTCGTGGGCAAATCATGTCGAAATAGAGATTTGTGAAGATGAACAAAAAAAAAGTGTTCGGCAACTCATCAAACACCGTCATGAAAACATTGAATATCAATGTACAAAAGAAAAAAAAAAAAAAAATACAAATTCATTGCTGGTACATGAGACTATAGAGGGTCATTAGAAAAATAATAGTTTGTCTCGGTTGGGTCGCTTCTTCGTAACTTTCGAACGTCGTCTCAAGGTGACTTGAAATTTCCCAATTTTTTCATTCATGACCTTCGAGAAATCTATTAGAAAATTTACGTGTTGTGTTTTTCAATACACCTGAGAGACACCTACTACCCAAGATACATCCATACATATTTTATAAAATAAATGTAATAAAAAGGTTTTCAGACTTTTCCGTCATTTTTGTCAAAAACTAAAAAAGTGAGCTTGTTAATTAAACAAAGACGTATCAAACGATTCAAAATCCATTCAAACTGACCCATGGTATATAAATACGAAAAAAGATATCACGCTGTGGCGCACGTGTCAGCTTTACTGTGTCAACTAATCATAGTCGTACAACCGGTGCTGAAAACAGATTTTCAAATAAGAGATAAAATAAACACTCGTGTAATTTTTATTGCCATCCGGCAGGTAAGAAATTTCTAAAGCTCGTGTAAATATTTGAAATATTTTAATTATCGTCTTAATACATCTAAAATCTTTGTTTGTCCACTAAAATCCATCATCAAGGTTTCTTAGGACAGAGTAATCCGTGTTAAAGTACACAAAAAAGTAGAGCTAGAAATAAGTGATAATGTGTCTGGCAAAACTTTTAAACAAATTTTAAAGGATATTGATGTAGTTGGAATCTCAATACAATAAAAAAAAAAAAAAAAACTGAAACCAGGTAAGCAGAAGATTTTTCGTAAACAGATTACATATCCGTATCGTTTCATCCCACACTCTTATTTGCCAATCTACTGGTCAGCTTGGTTATTTTGGGTGGTAAGGCAAAAGGAAAGAGACAGAGGAAAACATTTCGTTTTTCTAATGTAAATCAAACACTTTTTTATTAAAAAATCTCCCGTATTTAAAATAAATGCAACTTCTATCAGATCCGACTTTATGACATTTAAAACTTTACGTTTCAACCAAGTTATACATTTAAGATCAAATGTTTGTTCATTTGATTGAATAAATGATGAATTTTTATGGGGCAATAAACAGTAAATGAGAGCACAACGTCGTATAATAGTTGTCCTTGATGAGACAATTTTTTTTATCTTAATTCGAGCAAATGCTTAGTGCTCTCAAACATTATATCTCTATGTGACAGATTTCCGAAAATAAGTTTACTCGTACAACACGACATTTGTGGATGACCATTTGGAAATAGTTGGCTCTTTAAAATGGACTCAATTCAAGACGGATCCATTTATGGTGCCACATCGATAATGTTTATCACGATATATATGTTGCAAAATCACGTTTTGGCCAAAATGTTTCGTAGAAAAGTTAAAACTGGTACTAAAAAAACACCCAAAATGCCCTTGGCAGAATGGCTCATTACCCAATCTATTACCTACTGTAGTAGGTCAGATACCGGTACATAATATAAAGCTATACTGTGTACACCGTGCACGTGGAATTACCTTTGTATAGTTACAAAGTATCGTATAGAAAAGAAGAAAAGTACCGATATCGATAGGACACACATTTACCTCAACTTATACTTATATTATCATCAGAGATATGAGAAAAAAAAAATCATTTGTCTTTCAAAAAATTCACAATATTTGTGCATCGCCAATACATGGGTAAGAAAAATTTATGGATGTAGCAGAATACGATCGTTTCGGTCAACATACGGTATAGAACTAAAGACAAGCACAAAAAAAATTACATCGCCAAAACTATGTGTAAACCGGAAAATTTCCAGCCACCACAGCCGTCACGCTATACCACCAAAAACACGTGACAACGGGATTGTTTAATCAGAGTGAAGCCGAGCTAACTATGTTAGACGAATCTCTGCCAAGTCACCGCCGGAGACGAGACATAAAAAAAAAAAAAAAAAAAAACAACTTTTCATTACAATATTAGCCGTACATGTTGGTAGCCGTAAAAGCACCAAATCGACTGCGACGTCCAATGTTTTGTTTACGTATATACCAAGTGGCCGTTTTTTTTTGTTTTTGTCGCATATGCAACGTGCATTGCATTACCGCGCATCAACCATACGACCGATGACATTGTCCGCAAGTTGCGCGGTTGTTTTTCAAAGCAACAAAACAAATGTGTTAATATGGGGGATTTTTCACAATAAACACTCTTTGCGCAACGAAAGCCGAGCGCCGCGCTCGGAGAGCCGATATAAATTTTCGCGATTTTGCAAGGGATCCAATGTACAGCCCAGAGAACAAACGGAATAAAAGCATATGAAACAACTAGCTGGTGAAACAATAGGGGCGGAAAAATTTCCCATTGCGCAATTAAGATGTATATAGCGCGATTAAAATCCTTGGTGCGCCGCGATCGTAAAAATCGGCACTGCCTCCGTTAATTATGACGCGGACTCGAAGTTCAGAAAGACCGGCCGGAGCGGAAAAGTATCCGGGGAATGCCGTGTGTGGGTATAAGTATATATATCCCGGGCAGTCCACAGTTGCAGGTTGAGCAACCAATGGGGGAAAAAGAGCCGCGATCGGACTAGATTTTGTTGTTGTCGTCCGGAGCTCCTTTCAACAGGATAAGAATCCAGAATTGCCGGATTACTATTTTTCTACTATCTGGGCCACGAAGATAAACATCCTATCGCAAATATGCAAATATCGGTGGAATTTGTTGTTGACAATAGCGGGCTTGCGCCTTGTTTTGCACAAATTTTCAATCGTACTTTCATGACGAGTAGCCGTGAGAGCACTTTTAAATTTGCATTCGCAAGTTATTTTTCAAGATTCGCCAATAACCATACACTCCAGAAAATGAATCGCGGAGTCTATTTCTTTTTTTTTTTTTTTTGCACGCAAAGCGTCACGTTTTTTTGCCTTCTTTCATTCGCAGGATTTTGCGAGCCGGTAATCAGAACGATTTCCTTGCTTCTCGCAAGATTATCTTATTATTCCTCCACTCGATTGTCGTTTTTGGCTCGAGAAATCGACTGGGCTTTTTTTCCAATTTTTTCTTTTTCCTCTCATCGTCACTGTAAAAACGATCGGTAAATGACTTTGCAGAGCGTTGTCATCGATCGTCGATTGCAGCGTGATATATTCAACCTATAGGCAAGTGTATATATATATTTTATACAGGTGAGCCGATCTCGCAAAAGACAGCGCCTAGATAAAAATTCATGGCCAAAGTTGTTGTTATAGGACATTCGCGTGAGCATCAAAGAGGAAACAACCAAAAAAGGTGCCATTTCTCGATGTCCATCGCTTGTTTTCACAAAATAATAAGGATGTGTTCTACCTAAATTGTGTGTCCTCGACCAAAATGTAAACACAACAGAATCCAGAATCGAAGCTCATCGAAGATAACAATCGGTACAGCCAATTAATTCAATGGGGGAAGAGGGGGTGGGGGGGGGGAAAGTCACAGAGTAACCCGGTATGCTATACCGACGCGCATCAGGTGTATATACACACGGCCCGAGACGCGGACCGAAAAAGAAAGAGAGAGAGAGAGAGCTCGCGGCGTAGTCCAGGGAAGGGGGCTCCCGCATATAAGTCTGAATATGAAGGAGCCGTCTTTAGTCCGTCACACACAGCGCTCCCCCTTGCTCGTGCACCTTTGCTCCCGCCAAGCGTCAGCCAACAGCCGGAGTGCTCGTACATTTTTTAGCCCCCTTTGGTGGTTCACCTCGAGAGCCGACGGGCGTGTATATACGCGTGGGCCGCGCCAAGAGGGAGAAAGAGAGCGCGCCGGTCGCGTTGTTCGCCCGTGAGCAAGGGGCATAATTTTCGCGTGTCCTTGAACACATTGTTTTTTTTTCGCGACAGGATGGCCGAGCTGCGTCGCTCGATGCTTTGGCTGCTGCCGATGCTCGCCGGGTGTCTAGTCAGTGCTCAAGTGATCATCGACGCGGGCGACAACCCTGGAGCCGAAGAGCCGGATTTCCCCATACGTGAGTACCTTATCCTCGTCTTCTGTGTAGGATAGTTTGGAGATCAAAGGTGCGATTGTTGAGGTACACATTGTGCCCCACTGTCTGGGAAATCTGGAGACTTGCGTTTCATAATCGGATGCCGGTGTGAAAAGAGAAAAAAATAAATAAATATTGGACAACTCATCTTGGCGCGCAAAATTACATCTCTGTTAAAAACCGAGTGCGACGTAAATACCATCATCCGGCAAATGAGAGGCGGTAAAAGCTTTTCCTTTACGATCCCGGTAGTCCGTCGTGATCATCGTTACGGAGGCACACTTCCTACCAGGCCTTCTCTGAAACTCCGCTGTGGACTATCGTTTTTTTTTTTTTTTTTTTTTTTTTTTTTTTTTTTTTTTTTTTTTTTTTTTTTTTTTT